CAAAGTTTTTAGGTCCCTCCTGGTTACATGTCCAATGCCAGGCCACGATCAGTTGGTGGTGGGGCAGCATCGCGCTATGTTGCACAGTCGGCGATGGCCAACGCGCGACAGTCTCCATATGCGGTTGCTCAGGCTCCGTACGGAACTGTGCAAATGAACCCTGTGGTTAGGAACTCGCCGCAGGCTAACCACATGATGAATTCATCGCAGTCCGTTGGCCCTCCGGTCGCAACCGGCTCCTCGTACGCTAGGTTTGCCTCTACGGTGCAGCAGCGGCCTATTCAGTACCCTTCAACCGCAGGTATGCCTTCGCAGCAACAAATCATAGCCAAGAGCGTCGGCAACTACATGAACTACGGCATGCCGCAAAATGTGCAGCAGATGACAGGCTACCAGGGTCAGATGCCAAACATTAGAATGAACACGGTGGCGAATTTGCCACCTTCATCCGCATCGATGATTATGGCACCGAACAACGTGAGCGTCAACGGCATGATGTCTCAGCAGCCGTTCGCCACCTCAGCAGCTCCCCCTTACAACGACGTTAAGCCCGTCATTCAGGGTTCGTGATTGGCACTTTTCTTTTTAGTTCAGCGTGTGATGTTTTATGTTTTTTGTTTAGCTGAAGACATCGAGCCGAGGATTTCGTTTCCGGTGAAAGACGGCGTCATTATGCAGCCGTTTCGCCTGGAGCATAACATCCCAGTTTCGCAGCTGACTTTCTTCCTCAGCACGGAACACTATAATCTCCTTTACTCGGAGTACGCGATTTCTCTTCGATGATTTCTAACGTGCTACTGTCATCTTTTGTAGTCCTGACGCCGATCTGCAGTTGAAGTGTTTTCACGCTGACGACAGACTGATGTCCAACAATTGGCCGCATAACGCTAACATCCAAATTTACCTAAACAACACCCCCGTTGCTGTGAGACACGTTGATCGCCCGCTCTACGTCAAGAACCTATGTCAACCGAACAAGAACACATTGCAGATCGCTGTAGAACAGTGTTGCTGCGTAAGTGCTTAGTGTTCACAGATATTGAAAGATGTATTAATTAATTTTTGTTTGCTTTTTAGTCACACCTCTTTATGTTGAGTCTCATATCGAGACCCACCGTGGAGCGAATTGTAAACAGTCTCGTTCGTCGACGACTGTTACCCGTAGATGTCGCTATTGAGAAAAGTACGGTTGTGCTTTGTCGATTTTCATGGATTGTACCTGTTCGTGCGATATCTTCTAGCTCTTTGTTTTCTGGCTCATGCTTCTGTTCGTGCTGTGAGACATTGATGTGTTTTGTATGTTTATTTGTACGTCTCACCTTCGAATGTCCTTCCATTCGGTTGAGCAAGAATCGCAGGTGAACGTTTAAGGTGGGCAGTCATTTAGTACCAGATTGCAGTATAACGCGTACGTCGATATGCCATTGTGTTTTGATCCATCTATCATCCTAAACAAAACAAAGCTTGAGCGACCGTGTTGTTCAGATCAGTAATACGTGCCCTAGTGTACTACAGGCTTTCACACTCAGTTTCACTCACAGTCGCATGATGAGGGTTCGGAATTTCGACATTCTTCAGCCCGTGGTTACATCGTAAGCCACCTATTATCTGTATTTTCCCTTTAGTCTGGTTAGGTCGAATTCAGGCAAGGGATAACTTTAGCCGATTCTGGATTGATTACAGTTTAATAGCGTCATCCATTGTCCTGCGGATAGAGTGTATTGTATGTCATTATGAATTTTTAGGAACAGATGCTGAC